ACCACCCTTTAAGTGGATGAATGAGCAAGTTCAGCTATATTGGAGAAACCGTTCAATTTTTAATGGTGATCGTGCCGTTGTTACGACATACTAAATAACTGGCTGCCAATCGGCCATTTTATCTTGCATATCAAGCAGATATTACTGATTTACTGTAATACAATTTATATACTAGTATAACACATTGTTTGTAATTAAACAAAAAATGACCCTCACATGTTAACTTAATATATACACGAGTACCACGATCCAGAACCATGATTGAACATTCCCCCTCTCCCGAATTACGCCGTCATCGACCGTCACCCAGGAAACCGTTCACATTTTGCAAAACACCGAGTAGTCAATCAAAAACAGGTTCGATCGTGTTCGCAATATTTATCATGCAATTGGCATTTACAACATAAGGTCTTTCGATTTTTATTTAGAATTAATTACCAAGGAAACGGTTTATTGTCCTCAAATATCAATGAGAAACAAGGCATATTGTACGTACTTTGAACCAGGGTTACTGGAAAAATAACCGTGTTTGAACAGAGCAAAATAAGCTGTTCGTAAAGATATTCGCCGAAATAAAAATATACAAAAATTAGTTTTCTCGAACACAATGGTTTCACATACAAACAATAACACTGTTTCCAATAGAAACGGACAATGAACTTGACATTGACAACTCATGCCACTGATATGTTGACGCGTCCGTTCAGGGGGTCTATGGTCTTTAATGTCAAGCAAACAAAACCAAACGCAGTCAAACGAAGGGAGGACTCAAGGGTAATGTTGAAGAGACAGCGACGGGCTGAAAACGGTGATAACTCGTGGAATGCATATAACGACGATTGGGTGTTCGTGTTGGTTGCGTGGTACTTATCTAATGATATCTACGTAACCGAATTTAGTTGAAAGAGTTCGATATGGAAAAATAATTGCGAAAAAATAAATCGCCACATCATATAATGGTATTTTAACTTATGTCAGCTTCTTCGTAATTATTATTCAGTATTTAACCGAACCCGATCGTGATTACAGACGGGAGAGACTTCGCCTCGGTCAACAGTGCTCTCTTCTGGTCGACAAAACATGTATACCTTGGCCCGGGTCAATACTTCTATAATTATACCGAAAAAAAATTGTAAGACTGAATTGTAAGATCCCCACACTCTTGTGTTGATATCCCATAATATTTTCCAACATTTCTGTCACTTTTAAGATTTTTTGTAGATATTATCTTACTACGGGCGACTAAGTTGACACCAAATACGCATAGGATCTGATAGGGCTATGAGGTACTAGTATAATGATACTTAATATAGCCCGATCGTCGACGTCAGCACGCGGCTTAACTACACTACCCAACAGGTGGTTTCAGAGAAAAACTCGACGCTTTAAAACCGTCGAGTACAGAGGAAGCTGCGCGTTTACGTCCTTCCACATATCAATTTTAAGTGCACATTTCCTGAATAGTAGGCAATCAAGACATAATAAGGTCCGTCTACAGATTTCGCCGTCAAATGTCAAAAAATTAAAATTTGCGTAGATAATAACATCCACTTTCCAAAAACAAAAACAACAGTGGCGTTTTGTGTAATTATTGATTGGTAGGCGAGGTCATGTGACAACCACTACAGAAGGGTGGTTAGCTTGAATGCAATTATTTGCTGATAAACATCGGAATGCGCCGCTAAATCCACATCCAGCTTATATGGTCATACTTCGTAAGGTACTGTACTAGTATAAGCCACCGGTTCTGTTATAACCCCCCGCACCGATCTTGTATTTGCTAAGTAGCGTTGCGGTATACCCGTTAGTGGTAAATCTTTTCAGGTAACGGAATTAGCATAAATTACCGGTTAATTTAATTGTAAACTCGGGACGTGAACTTTGCTTAGCAAACATTATTACATTTTGCCTCGTCGGTGCATGTCGCCGTGTCAATACGCTCACAGTTCTATGTGTGCACTTCAACAATAGCCCATTTATATTAAACACTCGAAAACCACCACTTTCAACACGTCCGTGGGCTTTCTTTTAACAAAATAAAGTTGTTTACTTTCGCCCAGCGCTCCCGTACAACCAACGATGCACATCGCAGAGATGTTTGTTATCCCCGGACAAGCTGAACTAAACAACGTCGACGGTCGAACTCGGACGGGGGCTTCATGTTGTGCTAAAACTATTTAATTTATTTCAAATCTTTATTATTCATGACATTCAATGAAACAAAATGTCATTACATAAGCAAGAAACCCCCTCCCGTCTACCCTAATCCCGGAAAATAGCAGCATCCCCACTGAACTTTGTGTAATTGTCATTCAGGCCGGGGTGTTTTCACGTACATATGGTGGTAAACTGAAAATACCTTTACATGACAGTGTTCCTTAAAACTTAAAAAAAAATCTTCTCAATTTCTTTTAAACCAAAAAGAAGAAAAATAATTGCACACCTTATTATCTGTTTGTTGTGAACTATGTATCTATGGTAACCTGTTGACCTTACACAACCCACTTGATTACCCCCTCCGTAGGCACTTCGTGATAATTGTCCATTTACACTTTGATAAATAAAAAGAGGTTTTTAATGGAGAGAAAACCGATCACAGCTCATCAATCTATATCAACAAGTCACAATACTAGCAGTATTAATTTAAATAATGAATTTTGTAAGTTGCCGATTGTTGTCGACCTCGTGACATTACGCAAACACACAACGCCGATGTTACGCGCGAGGCATTGTAAGTTTCTTTTATTTTCACCGAAATGTAATAACAAGGAAAGCACAGTTGTTTTCCTCTCTACCGTTTTGAAGAATTCCCACAGCGGCTAGATCAGATGAAGTGATCTAAATATACTATTCTCGAATTATTCATATCTTTTCTTAGAAATATGTTGCTTAAATAAAATTGTGCTAATGATAGTCAAAAAACAAAATATGATCCACGGCTTAAAATTATAACATCGACCAAAACAATCTGGTTTTAATATGCTTTCCTTTGACGAGTACGGTTATGTTCAGCATAACAAAAACAAACAAAAAATATTGTTTTCAATGTGTTTTCTAGAATCTACGCGCGGACGGCTTTTTATTTCATTCTGAATTTTTCATTAAATTTGTAATTTGTCATATTTTTCTCAAATTCTGAAAAAAAATGAACAGACGAGCGTGGTGACCAACATAAAAAAAAATACCTGGGCCTAGCAGAGAATTTCGAGTTTTTACTCTAAAACAGCGTTTCCTGCATGTAAAACGCTTGAACACACTAATTGCTATTCCGTTACCTGAAGCAGTAATTATAACCCGTCGACACCATTAATCGCAAGATGGCTGACGAGCGTCGAAAAAAAAAGAGACTCGTTTAGAATGGTATTGGATATAATAAAGAATTGTTATTTTATTTTATCGTGGTAACATACGATAAGAATCGGTTTATCAGTTCACGAAACGTGTTATCCACACCTGAGCCAGTTACATGACAAATATAAACTAGGCTACGCTTACACGGAACGTTATTTGCTGCGCCATGGCAACCGTGACTGGCTTCACGCCGGGGACATTCCCCGCACTTGTACCAATAACAAGTTAAGTATGAACATTGAATTTGCCATGAATAAAATCGGCTATGTGCGAAAAAAATACATATATCATATTAAGTTTTTAAAAAAATCGATTTATCATGAGTTCGTATTTGTACGATTGATTGATCTGCGAAAATGCGCTGACTTATTCCGCGTAGACGCCGTAAACGGTTGCTACGCAAAACAGCGAAGGGTTACGATACTCGTAGGAAATGAAAGTATCAAACTGAGAGTCCCATACAGCTCGACTACTAATACTGACGTCTATCTTGTCTGTTTCACCAACATTCACCACAACAATAATCTTGTAACGTTCAATTCCAAGTTCTTTGATCCACTCTTTGATTTCGTCTGAGAGCAACCTGCTCTGCTCGGCGCATAGTCTGGAATCGTATTTGACTCCATCGAACCGGTTCGCGATTCTGCTCGACATCATGTGGTAGATCTGACCCTCGTGGGTGACGAATGGGTGATCGGGTTCCAATTTGTAAGTCGGTTGCAAGGTAATCCTGGGCGCTGAGATGGTGGATTTGGCTCGTGGCCGATCACTGAACGACATCCAACTGGAACCCTTAAGTTGCCTGGCTGTTGAACGTAACTTTAAATTTCTGGTCAATCGCTTCGCGGCAAGCAAACCCCGCAAATTGAGACCGGGCATGGAGATTCGACTCCCGTCCGTCGAACTTTTATCGCTGCTGTCTCTCTTCGTCGACCCCGTCATCGTCCCGTTACTCGCTACTGACATTTTCCGGTCGGATCCTTTCCGCAGTGCGCTCAACATTTTCGCTGATTAAGTTGACTTTGACAGTTGAGAATATGTTGTAATCGACGACCACACATCGGCTAATGCACGAACGCGCCTATCGGAATCCTGCTGCGGTTCTATCAATCTGTGTGCTGCTGTCTTCTGTTGTTATGGCGAGGCTCCTCGCGTACATAAGTCTCACCTGACCCACACACTCAGCGAGAAAAGCAAATATTGTCTCACACCACAGTATACCGTCGGCAATATTGTCACTTGTTATCGACAATCCTACCACGTTCAGATCAAAAGTTGTACTCTCAATACAGTCCCTGTAATAAATCAGAGCCGACGTTAACAGTTGAACTTAATTCGAACGTTCTTGATCAAAGACTGGAAAAACAGTTTTATCCAAATACACCTACTGTCACTAGCTAGCGGCTATTTATCCACGCTGTTTGTCTACCTTTTATTCGGATCTCTTCAAGTATATTCAGATATGAATAATCGGAGTCGTTCGTGATGCCAACCGTCTCACGGAGGTCACTGAATTAATGACACAATTAAAAATAAACGCCCCGATCACAAAACATCTCTCGACGAGCGTGCTCCGTCTACATCGCTATAACTTTCACTCAAGCGTCGCCTCTTCTGTTCATTCTTCAGAAGATAAAGCACGAAATGCTAGTTAATGACAGAGGATTTTCGGTCATCCGCCCGACGCGTTCTTCAGTTGTAACCAATGGAGACGCGATAAGGAATCCCGTAAACTTTGTTTTACACAATATGTATACCGTCTGAATCTAATCGCGAAATGAGAACACGATGGCTTCATCATTATCGTCAATAATTGTTGGCGTGGCAACGAATAAACAAAATGCGTCCCCTACAGGAGTATCTACGCTATTAAGTGAGGTTATCCGTATGATTCACGTGGGAAGCGAAGTCACTTGTGTTTATTTTCTGGAACTGTAATTTGTTTAAATGTATGTTACAGTAGTATAATATTGTTATTAAGGCGAGTTAGCAGAAATAAAGCAAAAACAAACATAATTTTATACGTGTTCTACGTTATCATTCGACAAATGGCGCATTAATTTTCTAAATTATTGCCATGACACCCTCTGTGTGAGCGTAATAACATTGTATTCCCATATCCAAGGTACCGCAGCGAAATTGATTAGTGGCATAAGTATCAGCCCTATAGTGCATGTGACGTGACCTGAATGCAGATATTGAAAGTACTAATTTCGAAGTCATGTCATTACAATTGAGTTAATAAACTCACTATGTTATCACTGATGTCATTACGTAATCATAACACTACCTGACGAATATGCATCAGGACGACTATCAATAGTTTCACCCGCAGGACGTACATAAAGCGATTAGACGACCAATATTTATCATAATATTAAGTAGGCCAGTGTAGCATACGCTGTTATGGCATTGCCGCGATCTCTCTTTGGTGATTTACGCCCGTACGTATACGATTTCGTGCTAATGTCACGTGACTATAACTGAGACGTGTTCACTGATCAGCGTAATTTCAGACACCTATTTTCTATCCAAGTAATTGTACAATCATCCGACTAAAATAAATTGCATTATTTTGTGTTAGTCGGTAATACTAGATCGGTCCGACTGGAACCCGGGCAGTGCTGTTAAGATAAAACCATGCTCATAGTTTTTGAGAAAGTTGATCATGATGATGAATCGCACGACAATATTGATCATTGGTGCATTATGTACACTCGTGAAGACATAGTTCCATGGTAACATGAAACAGCATTTTTTTCTGTTAAAGTAAATTGACCAAATATTGTTTTTAAAACGTTACTTTCGGAACAATGTTAATGTATTTTTTCTAAATCCCCGATTTTTTTTTTTTTTACAAATCAGTCGTATTGTAAACATGGAAAATTTCCCAGGTTGTTTTATACAGCAGCAATGGACGACGATCTCCAGTTGATTGGTGGTTACACAGTGAGGTTTTAAATTCAATTCGCCACCGACAGAAAGGCAAAACCTTCTGATGGACTGAAATCGTGCACATTAACCATTACATCGCACGCACTTGTATTTTTAACGCGCGTACGCGAGTGATATCGATTCAGAATTACTTTTGATTGAAGAGCCCGTGAATGTCGTTCCGTTTCCCTTTCCTGTGAATTCGCTAAGTGGAATTCTTAATGAGAGTCCAATTTGTCTTCGTTAGAATATAGACTGAATATAATACAGTATATTAGCGTTGGAATCCATGTCAGTCTATCGGAGCCAGTCGCAGGAAATTGTCACACGGAGTCAGGCTCTCACGGCTCCTGGCCCATCTCGTTCCCGGCTCGAGTATGCAAGAACTACAGACCTCAGAATACAGATGCAATAGTTCAACAAAGCAAATAATATGTTGTTTATAACAAGTTGTGCTTGTCTTGGAAGAATATACCTTCTCCAAGTCGCGCCCTCTATAGACGAAGCGTTAATGTGACGTCCAAATGACGTAAAGGGTGTAAGCAATGTGTAGACATTCCGACTGGTTGCGTTGCCGCTCGTCATTTAGAATAGAGCTAATCTGTTATAAATATATTTTTATTGGCGTGAGACTGAAGATCGTAACAAAAACATCACCGAGAACGGCGAACCTTGCACCAAGTTTACGTCATAGAACCGCCTTGTCGATAGAGGGCGCGACTCACAGAATCGACATTCGGTCCATGAACCCAAGAAAAACCTAAACACATAATTCGAGATTTCTACCTTGAGAAGTCTCATCATTTTTTTTTATTTGATTTGGGAATATTATTGGGAAATATTTTGATAAAAGTTTATTTCAATAACTAATTATTATCTTTGTCTTCGAACGCGTGGCCATGACAACAGACATACAAAATATCAAAGCAACACTATGACAATATGACATGCCTGATATAAAATATAACCAGCGGGAGAAATTTAATCATATGACGCTAAAAATTATTTTATTTTTAGAATGGCGCATTTTACAGTGGCTGATAGCACAAAAAGCTTTTAGACGATGTACCATACGGAGTAATGACGAAGTGCGAACATTATTAATTCACATCATTATCGTCCATATATGCATAATTTAATGTAATTTAAAAATAAAGAATAGGACATGTTACAATATTCCCCAGCAAATCTTATACTGCTGGTAAGTTTATCAGCAACCTGGTATGTGCCTTTGCGTTTTTAGCGCGTGTTGTTATCGTCGCTTGGGACTCAATTCTCGCGCGTGCGCAGGTGACGACCCACCCGCTTTAAATAAATAACAAAATAAAAATAATAATCGGCGATAGAGTTTGGAACATTTTCACGCAGTGCCGATTTAATATTAATAAATTATATTATATTTTACGGAAAATTATAATTGTTGTATCATTGTTGTTCAACAATACGTCCACCTTCGAGGACTATCGCAGTTTCTACATCTTTTTATTTTAAACTCTACGAACGTGACAGGCAATGTCACCGTATGTACCTGTCGCTTCCAATTTGCCAGTCTATATACCTTGTCAACTGAGTTTGAATTGCCATGGCAACGGGTGCCGCATGCTAATTGTCCATGATTGTGTAACACATTTTAATGATCTGTATTATAATTGTGAGAGATGTCAGACATGGCGACATGAAAAAATCGATTGTTTACATTTAATAAGGTTTTGTGTTGTTTGGATTAAAACGAAGGCAATACCCGGCTTTTTTGTATGAGATGTAAACAACGTCAAATATTTAACTTCAAACTCCAAACAGGGTGAATCATTCTCTGTTTACTGGTAGTTGCACGTAAACAAAAATAGTTCGCAGTATTTACAAAAGATCGTTTCCAACTGCCTTAGTATTCGCGATATTGATATCCCTGACACTCAAAGGGTACTCATGAATATTCGGGAGTTCATTTTGTGTGTGTGTCTCAAAACTGGGAACGGGGCGTCACGCGTCGGTAGTAATGCGGTCAAGTGCGGATGAATACGTTAGCCTTGGTGCTCGTCATTATTTTGAAATTGACTGGATTCAGTGCAGCAAAAAAAAATCTCCACCCTATTCGACCCTATCTAACTGAGATCCGAAAAGACTAAAATTACAACTGACTTGCACCAACATGTCTCGGTGAATGGCAGTGGAGCAGATCCAATAACCGAAGGCTAGTTACCGGTTGTGATTGCGTTTTTAACAACTGTGGTAGAGCTCGCTATGCAATCTTACATGGTTCATCAGGCAGCGAGACGATGGTAGATTTGGATGGGAGGGGGAGGGGCATGCCAGGCCACGAACTATTGTAACATGATCATCTGAGAAACATTTTAAAGTAGGCTGACACACCTTAGATGCAACGCATCTAAACAAACATCATGAAACAAGCATTGGACAAGTGCTTCTATTTTAGTCGCCCTTAGCCAGTATCCCAAGGGAACCTGACTTCAACCTAAACTTGTAGACACATTACCATAAATATATAATAAATGTCATTGAATTGAAATATAGAATTTTCTCTGCGCAACTAACTAACAATCAATCAAGCAAGCTTAACAACATAAAATTACACCGCATTTGGGGTTTGTAGAGGGCGGAAACCTTTATGTGGGTTCAAATTCATAAACTAAATATTCATGTTTAGCCCTTCGTTAGCAAGTAGTTCACATAAACCAAAACACGAACATGGCATGTTTTATCTGTAATGAATAACACAATTTCAGATACGGTCGATTTAACTAAATGAAGAAATGTTTCAACTGACTATCGCGACTGTCAGACGCGAACAACATAAATCTGAAGTGAAATCAAATGCGTGTCGCAAGCTAATAGACGTTTTCTATGGGACGATGTTTTTTTTTTTTTTTAAACACAGAACTGATTTATAGAAAAATACGATTTGGCGTCAAGAGGTTTAAAATATATTCTGAGTGTATAGAAACGTGTTAGCTTTGTGCATACGGTTTAAATTGTGTTATTCAGTGGCAGTGTGCTTGACACACCGATAATAACCGCCGTAAAAACAACAATACTGACTGACGGTGAAATGTACTTGCTGAATGAATGTAAATGAAGCGTGTCCACCAATCAAAACTGTGAATGTCAATAAACAATAAGAACTGTACCTGACTCGGCTTCACTTTAAACATACATTGATCTGCGAAATCAACTGAAATAATAAGTCTGAAATCGATGATTGTTTACGGGAAACCTGCTGTACTCGACAGATCCGTGTTACGCTGTACTGTGTAAATGACAATGTGACACCTGTTACATAGATGAGTGCGCCACCTACGGTATCCTGTGACCGCGAGAGGGCGTTATGGGTGCGAGGCAGAATAAAATTTCTTTGTTTTTATCTTGCGGGAGAGGAGTGGGGGTAACTCTGCGGTTAACTTGGCACATACTCGTCCTAGAGACCATGGTAGAACATGTATTCCTCTTTTTTAACCTTCGCCTCGAATTTAACACGCATTACGAACAAGCAAGTAAGACTAGCGGTACAATTGATACCCTGCCAGGAGCATCTGTGAGTCAGAGCTGTACGTGAATGTGAAGTGCCCCGGTCTAGGCATACGTCATTAGAATGACAATTTTGTTGAGAATTGAATATATCATTATGTACATATAAATGAATGCAAATATTGCGTGTAACTGCGTATAAGTGTGTAAAGAAATGAAATGATGGAGATATTAATGCAAATCATGATCGCAACGGCATGTGGCAATGACAATCTCCAGGTTCGTGATCGAAATTATTAATACAGTGTTAATACTTTGACGCGAATATCTTTTTTTTTCGTTGATTTTGTGATTCATCCAATTAACGCGTAGTGTAAAAAAGATTAATTATTCACTGGGATTCAATGTTGAAATTTTCACCAATTAGTAAAAATTAACAGATTATTTCATGGGAAAAGTGTTGAACTTTAAACTCAGTGAAGAAAATGCTGAAAATAGTGAAAATAAATGGTTTTACAGTATTTCAAGGTCGGTACATTAAAATGACACTATTTTTTTAAAACCCTTTTAGTAATTTCAGCATATCGAAACGTCGGCAGTACAATGCTTCATTCAATGAAATATAATTCTTGCATTATTTCGATAGGCACACAAGCAAAGCGAGACATGTTTTGACATGATATAGATATATTATAATTGTTTACACGTGTCAATTAGTTTGCGTGCGACCTTAAAAGGTACAACTGGTAGCAGTATATCATAAAAACACCTCTGTCTCACAGTCTGGTTTTACAACGAACGATATTCGAAGACAACGAAGGTGAGTGATGTTTGTCGCAACATAGACTCAAAAAATCACAAAACGTTCTTTAGTTTGCACTTGGGCATCACATTACGATTTATCGTACCAGTGTATTGATGTAATCCACGATATTGTTGCTTAATATCCAGAACGTTGGACATTTACAGACGTTCGCCCAAGCTGCATATGGTCAAATGGCTTGCAACACATTCTCGGAAGTTGTATCCGCGAAATGACATTTCATATTCAATAGACCATTTTCCGTACACTGCGAGAATCACGCGTTATGCGTGAAATCGAACGTAAAAACAGGACAAACAAAGGTCATAGCGTCATAGTGGCGTCAAACATCGCGTGGGATTCGACAAACGCGAAAGTATTTTGGGGACATTTCCATGCTTAATAATGTGCTGTCCACATTTGATGATAGGCAATTTCGATTAAGTAAGGGTATTCGGAAGCAATATTCCTGTCGAAGATCGGCCGGTCGGTGTGAGCTACGAAATAAGGAAATTCGAGTTCAAAATCAAATCGTTCGATTTTTGCGGCAGACGTTCGACGCGCGTCTTTCATGCATCTCGCGAGATCTCGCAATTGTACGGAAAATCACCTATTAAACCATTACAAATGTACTATATTATATCGCGACGTTTTAGTTTCAAGGAATCCATAACCGTACAATTTATAGTGATCTGTTTGGCAGGGGGAGTAATACTTTGTTATTCGCCGGAAACACACAATTACAAAATCAAGAAACCATGTTCATTGCCTATCGACAGTTACAAATATGGAAATGGATAAAGTAAGAAATAGCGCAGGGCTGGCGACAACTTTTTCGCGAACATTCAATTATTTCCAATTTTGCTATTTTTTTTATTTTCAAAAAAACACAAGAAAAAACCAAAACAAAACACAGCAATAACACTTGTAAGCAGGTCTAATATGATACTAGTATGAGTTCAAATTAAAGATTGACGAAAAGATATATATTTTAATACAATAATTTAATAGCATTACATGCCGGTGATAAAATTGGATTATCACTTATCATAAACTTGTGTTTATTAAATAAAAGGAAAATGTGTTGTCGAAGAATAAAGCACGAAATGTTATTAAATGACACCCGCCCGTTGCTTTTTAAGGTGGTTACCAAGGGAGACGCGACAAGGAACTCCGTAAACGTTGCTTTATATGTGATGTCTGAATCTAATCGCGAACGGAGCGGGGACACGACGACTGCAACATGATTAGCGTCAGGGGGGCATTAACTTCTCCCCTTTAGTAAGTGAGGTATGATTCAAGAGGTCGCTTTAATTATTTTTTTCTGTAATTGTAATTTTATAAATGAAATAAAGCAATTATAGACATTATTTATTATACGGCAAATGACGCACATGCTAACCCCACCCCGATTCAATGTCACCATCCTCCCGTGTTAATGCATTTACCGAGTGTGTTTTATCGGCATTCATTGGTCATTAACATATATTTCAATGATGAAGAACACACAACGAAATAGAGGTCTATTTGTATAACAATGTTTATGTCAACCTACACGTTTTTACGTCACAGATTTGTCGCCAGAGGGCGTAACCTATCATTTGGATATCAGGTCGACAAGTTCCTTAAATCGTCAAACAACCAAAAAAATCATTTTCTCACTGACGTTGGAGTCTTGTTTTTGGCTTCACCGGGTAGAGCAACCGGCTGAAAATGATTGTTTCAACACTCTTCAACACGAGCTGCTGTACTGTAAAAGCATTATTTATACACTGGGTGTTAATTTCGCTATTTTTGCCATTGTTCCTCTGCCAAATTCGTGAACTTTAACCCCAGTGAAATTGAAACATCAAAAAGTGAAAGTTAATGCCAGTGAAAATAAATGGTATGTGAATTAGTGACCATTCCGTGACTCTTGACATCATATCGTGCCTACACTGATTAAAATCATGAAACAGTTTTCATTTTTTATCCCCGAATTCTCAAAGAAAAAAGTATCATTAGCCCAGTCATCATAAAGGTGTGTATTGGTCACTCAAAAAAAGCACTTCTAAATGTACTTGTCATATTTTTTTCAAGAGTCGTCGTCGGTGGCAGTGTTTTGTAAGTATTAACGACACAGTTTGCTGCTTTGCGTTACGCCACGTCATCTCGCAACAAGCAAACACTAAAATTGTCAATGATATCCAATATGTCACACACTTATGGTTGTTGAGATATTAAAATATTGAAGTATGTAATGTATGTGGGATATAGTTTGTTGTTTTACAAAACCGAGAAAAATATTTTTAGCGATAGCATGATGTGAGAGCCTGATATTTTAAGTATTTGTTGAGTATTATTGTTTTTTTAATTATTAGTAAGATTCTGAAAATAACAACAAAATAAAAGTCATTCTTACCTATCTAGAAAATACCACATGCGTATCTATTTACGACAGAAATAAAAAAAAACGTTCATACTGACAATACCTTAAAAATCCAACCACGCCCCCACCGACGCACATTAACGAATGCATATTAACGAATGCACCCAGACTCACCCATGAAAGAACTGGTTAACACAACCACCATGACCCGATCATGGACGTACAGTTCAACCCGACCCTCAACAAAGACCATAAACTTGCAGTTTATCCGGACAATGACCAAGGCCATAAACATACTTCTTGGCCCTCGTCCCTATGACCCGACCAACTGGAAAGATCCAGTTTCGATCAGTGGTTGAAATCTGGTAAAGTTGTAGACGCTTCATTGTACTCCACTGGCCCGTCATTTGTGTTTTTAGAAACGACGCTTTCAAAATTCACGAAATCGTCATCTTCTGTATTATCAGAACTATTTTCTTCCTGTTCAAATAAGACAGACTCACTGCTATCCGTATTTTCCGAACTAATGGCGTGAGATTCCCATTCAGTCGTCGCGTTTGTCATTTCTAAACTGTCGTCGTCATAAGAATTTGATTCGCTCCCGAACTCCGACTCTGTATTATAACCGTTCTCTATACAGTTGGGTGGACACGGTATTGCTTCTGACGTTGAATTCGTGTTGTATGCGGCCATGATAGATATGAGGGCCAAGGGTTTGTTATTAACGCTATGTATAGTCAATGAATGATGTCCACTGATAACATACCAATGAACGCGATGTGTCATAATTCGCGTCCACGGCCATTCATTGTGTAACACCCTCGAATTTTCGACATCTTCATCCAGAATCACGCGGGCCTTCCCGCAAGAAGGGCACCCTAACATTCCTATAAAAATAATAGCCAAGTATTTGTGAAAAGGCTCGATATTGATCGAAAATGTAATATCATTATGTTTTTTAGAAGTTGTCCAGACAGTATAATTGATGAGATTGGCCGTCTCCTTGATGTATGTTGTGGAATCCTCTGATGGGTGTTCGTGAGTCAAATGCCAACCGTTCATATGCATGGGTTCCAACGTAGGGGCATGTTCTCTAGTTGACAATGCTGACCAGCACTGCGGGTGTATGACCCGTGACTCGGGGAAAAGAGGTTCCCGGAGTACTTTTAGTTCTTTGTTTTCGGTTATAAATTCGTAGAACTCAAAAGGACTGGACAACAAGCGATGGGTCAGGCGAAGTGCTGCCCGTCGGAACATATGCGCTAAGATCACAGCTACCATGCTGTGCGCCTTTTCGCTCGGGTGGTATGAGTCGATCGCGACCAAGTTTTTCGCTTTCCCTTCGCGAATGCGGGAACACATAGCATTCGATAAGCTAACTGACGGAATGTCATAGTGTTCGCTGAGTGGTTCACTGGCAAGCCTCTCATTACTAAAACAGGACCGTCGCAACGTGTTGACAGCAGTGACAAAGTTCACATATATAAGTTGTGGCTTGGATCCTTGCGATAATATATGGCGAGTTAGGTCTTCCTGAGCAAAGGGTCTCAGACCCGCCACGTAGTCGTTGACGGCAAGCTCCCACAATATAATGTCCAAA